GGGGGAGTGGTAGTCTCTGTTCACTGACACAGATTGGGGGAGTGGTAGCCTATGTTCACTGACACAGATGGGGAGAGTGGTAGTCTGTGTTCACTGGCAGATGGGGGTGATGGGTAGTCTATGTTCGCTGACACAGATGGGGGGAGTGGTAGCCTATGTTCACTGACACAGATGGGGTGAGTGGTAGTCTGTGTTCACTGACAGATGGGGGGAGTTGTAGCCTATGTTCACTGACACAGATGGGATGAGTGGTAGTCTGTGTTCACTGACACAGATGGGATGAGTGGTAGTCTTTGTTCACTGACACAGATTGGGTGAGTGGTAGTCTATGTTCACTGACAGATGGGGGGGGGGGGGGGGGGGGAGTGGTAGTCTGTGTTCACTGACAGATGGGGCGAGTGGTAGTATGTGTTCACTGTCACAGATGGGGGGGGGGGGGGAGTGGTAGTCTGTGTTCAATGACAGATGGGGGGAGTGGTAGCCTATGTTCACTGTCACAGATGGTGGGGAGTGGTAGTCTGTGTTCACTGACACAGATGGGGGAGTGGTAGTCTGTGTTCACTGACAGATGGGGCGAGTGGTAGTCTGTGTTCACTGACACAGATGGGGGGGAGTGGTAGTCTGCGTTCACTGACACAGATGGGGTGAGTGGTAGTCTGTGTTCACTGACAGATGGAGGGAGTTGTAGCCTATGTTCACTGACAGATGGGGCGAGTGGTAGTCTGTGTTCACTGACACAGATGGGGTGAGTGGTAGTCTGTGTTCACTGACAGATGGGGCGAGTGGTAGTCTGTGTTCACTGACACAGATGGGGGGAGTGGTAGCCTATGTTCACTGACACAGATGGGGGGAGTGGTAGTCTGTGTTCACTGACAGATGGGGGGAGTTGTAGCCTATGTTCACTGACACAGATGGGGGGAGTGGTAGCCTATGTTCACTGACACAGATGGGGGGAGTGGTAGTGTGTGTTCACTGACACAGATGGGGGGAGTGTTAATCTGTGTTCACTGACACAGAGGGGGTAATGGGTAGTCTTTTACTGACACAGACGGGGGGAGTGGTAGCCTATGTTCACTGACAGATGGGCGAGTGGTAGTCTATGTTCACTGACACAGATAGGGGAGCGGTAGTCTGTGTTCACTGACAGATGGGGCGAGTGGTAGTCTATGTTCACTGACACAGATGGGGGGAGTGGTAGTCTGCGTTCACTGACACAGATGGGGTGAGTGGTAGTCTTTGTTCCCTGACACAGATGGGGTGAGTGGTAGCCTATGTTCACTAAAAAGATGGGGTGAGTGGTAGTCTGCGTTCACTGACACAGATGGGGTGAGTGGTAGTCTTTGTTCACTGACACAGATGGGGTGAGTGGTAGCCTATGTTCACTAAAAAGATGGGGTGAGTGGTAGTCTTTGTTCACTGACACAGATGGGGTGAGTGGTAGCCTATGTTCACTAAAAAGATGGGGTGAGTGGTAGTCTTTGTTCACTGACACAGATGGGGTGAGTGGTAGCCTATGTTCACTGACACAGATGGGGCGAGTGGTAGTCTGTGTTCACTGACAGATGGGGGGAGTTGTAGCCTATGTTCACTGACACAGATGGGGTGAGTGGTAGTCTGTGTTCACTGACAGATGGGGGGAGTTGTAGCCTATGTTCACTGACACAGATGGGGGGAGTGGTAGCCTATGTTCACTGAAACAGATGGGGGGAGTGGTAGTGTGTGTTCACTGACACAGATGGGGGGAGTGGTAGTCTGTGTTCACTGACACAGAGGGGGTAATGGGTAGTCTTTGCTCACTGACACAGAGGGGGTGATGGGTAGTCTTTGATCACTGACACAGATGGGGGTGAGTGGTAGTCTTTGTTCACTGACCAGATGGGGGTGATGGAAAGTCTTTGTTCACTGACAAGATGGGGGTGATGAACAATCTTCCAGATGCAACCATGACAGGCCGCAAGTTTCACATAGCACGTGCTGTAACGGCACAAATCAGCAGCCACTTGAGGAGGAGTTTTAAATTCCAGATGAATCATGGACATGCAATTATAGTCAACCACCTGCCCCATGGCCGGCCAGGCAGTCCAAATAAAATAATTCCAATTTAATTTGTTCCTGTGATGCGAGGCTGGAACCCGCTTGCTAATAGATAAATAATTGTTTGAGCTGATAGATTAGATTTCGACCTCGGCACAGAAAATACCACAAGGTCAGAATGAAGTCTGTCACGAGAACAAGCTGTCGTTGTTTAACCCCGGACGTTAGACTTCGTGCTCTCTTATAAATCTTTGATGGATAGATCTTGTGGGTGATGTTCCATTCCTTTTCTGTCGGTCTTCAACGAAATGAGATCTTTATCATAGTTAGACGCCTAACCAATCATCTGTGTAATTGAGGTAGTTTGGTTCAGCCAGTATCGAATGGTATTTCGGCTTCATCACGGCGTATCTGCTTCATTTGGGTTGAGGCAAACCCGCAATGATTCATATCTTAGATATATACCATTTTCGTGGAACCCGCGGTAGTCCGATAAATATCAACCACTTACTTGTCTTATCGACCCGTGAAGATCCGGGTAGAGAATAGGTCTTCAGCAACCCATGCTTGCCTTTAGAGGCGACTACGCTTGTCGTCAGAGGCGACTAACGGGATCGGGTGGTCAGGCTCGCTGACTTGGTAGAAGCATGTCATCTTATCCCAATTGCTTGGATCGATGCTCATGATGTCAATCACTGGATTGTCTGGCCCCGACTCGATTATTTACACAGCGCCGTCATATTGCTGGAATGTTGCCAAGTGCGGCGTTAAACAACATACAAATAAATAAACAAACAAGGCAATACCAGTCGTATTCCTTCCGAGTACACACTAGTCTTATAGTTATCAACCACAGGCTAGCCTATTCATCACAACCACAGGCTAATCTCCTCACTACCAAGTACCGTGAAGATCCGGGGTAGAAAAGGTCTTCAGCAACCCAAGCTTGTCGTAAAAAGCGACCATGCTTGTCGTAAGAGGCCTCTTACGGGATCCTGGGCTCGCTGACTTGGTTGATGCATGTCATCTTATCCCAATTGCGTGGATCGATGCTCATGATGTCAATCACTGGATTGGCTGGTACAGACTGGATTATTTACAGACCGCCGCCATATAGCTGAGTGCGGCGATAAACAACAAACAACAACAAAACAACCAAGTACAATATAGTCTTATCAATATAAACCACAAGCTGACACTTTTCAACAAAACCACAGACTAGTCTTCTCGACACAACCATTAACTAGTCCTTCACGATCAGCCATATGCTAGTCTTCTCAGCATAAGTCACAGGCTAGTTTTTCAACGTGTCAATTCGCCGACACAAAGAATACTTGTATGTCAAATACCAGAGGCCCATCACGTAAGCAGAAACGTGTTTATTGCTGTGTCGCAATGATTCGCGCAAGCCTGTACTCTCTTACAATAATCAATAGTAATTCGAGTCGACAGGGTGATATCCCTGCTTCTGGGTGAGGTCTTATGTTCTACTGCCGCAGATTAAGACAGGCTCCATAATCACATTTGTCAAAGGGTGAGGTTGAGGTGTTCGATCTGTAAATGGCGGAGGTCACAGTAAAGACCCCTGTCAAACTCACGTCCAAATCTCAAGAGTTATACAATTATACTCTGTGCATTCTAGCCACGGAAAGGACAGTCTGTACGATACTGGGGCGACAAGTCCTGGCAATTGAAGAACGTGAATCTTCTAACATAGGAACTGCCTGTGATGACCATGCGTTTCGCTCGGTTCTGGTTGGGTGGGGTGAGGTGAAATGGGGTTTAAGGTTGTGTCATGACTATTACACCGGCGTGTGTGTTTGTGTGTGTGTGTGTGTGTGTGTGCGTGCGTGCGTGCGTGCGTGCGTGTGCGTGCGTGTGTGCGTGTGCGCTAGTCCGGACTACTAATTCCGGTTTTATAGTCCTAGTCCACTGAGATACCATACGCCGAGGCGACCAGTCCTTGTTTTATCCCCTTAATGCCGCGCGCCAGGCAGGGTAACAACAAGTACCATCTTTTAAAGTTTTTTAGTGTAACGCAACCGGGGATCGAACCACCGACCTTCCGCTCTCCGAGAGACGCTCTTTCCCCTACACCACGGATTTCAGGACATTGCAACGTTCGACGGTGGTTAGCTATGGGGGTACAGTACCCCTGGAATATATATTAGTTCGGAAAGGAAAGCAGACTAGATATTTTTTGTCAGATATGACATGTATCAGCTACTGCAAACACAAAACTGTTTCACCTGAGCTAAAGTTGATTTAACTAACAAAACGCATATGAGACAAGTTGGTTTGTTGTTTAACGCCGCACTCAGCAGTATTCCAGGTATATGACGGCGGTCTGTAAATAATCGAGTCTGGACCAGACAATCAAGTGATTGTTTTATAAGCATCGATCCACGCAATTGGGATCGATGACATGCATCAGCCAAGTCAGCAAGCCTGACCATCCGATCCCGTTAGTCGCCACTTACGAAAAATTCTACCCCGGATCTTCACTGGTCTTATATGAGACAAGTTCACAGAATTGGGCAAACGTATTTGGTTTGTATTATGTGCCCATGCTACATAAGCAGGGTAGCGCAGCGCAGCGCAACCCAGGAACCAGGCTGACACATGATGTTGCACAGGGGCGGTCTGGTAGCCTAGTGGTTTCAGCGTTCGCTCGTCACGCCGATGACCCGCGTTCGATTCCCGACATGAATACAATGTGTGAAGCCCATATCAGCTGTCCTCCGCCGTGATATTGCTGGAATATTGCTAAAAGCGGCGTAAAAACCATACTCACTCACTCACTCATGTAGCACATACACTACAGGCGATGTTTTTTTCACGGAATGCCGGTGAGCAATAAGAAAACTTGGCTACTAAAGTAATTAGGGCATAGATAACATGATTAAACACACCTTTGGTCACCAGATTTATTTCCCCTACATTGTGACCACGCTTGTTTGTTTCAGATGGGCGTGTCCACCAGTGACCTCACAGAGCTCCGTGTGGGGGAGGGGCTTGTGTAGCCCGATCCCAGCATGCCTCCTGCGACCAACCTGCGGATGCCATGCTCCACCCTATTGGTCACCACCGAAGTCTACAACACCACCAGACGCGACACCACCATCGACAACGACGACCGCAACGCCTTGTTGTACATCGTCGTCACCCTCCTCTTCTACTCTCTGGGGATTGTAGTGGGCATCATCACGTACCTCAAGCGGGAGAAGCGGGAAATGGAAGAGTCAAAGACCTTTGAAATGTTCATGAGCCTCAAAAGAGACCCATTCACTGCAACGAAGCTACGTAGAGTTCAAATTGTGACGGAAAGACTTGAACAACTTGAAAAATCCAGGGCAGCCTTGGAGATGTCGGAGCGCATGGAGCTAGAAAGGTTGATGTCGGAGCGAAGTGATGGGGAGGAAGGGAGTCAGGAGGAGGAGGATAGGGGTAAGGAGGGGGAACAGATAAGCGTTCAGTCAGCAGAGGACACTGACGTGTCTGAAAGACCAACTGTTTTAGGTGTATCTGATTCCAGTTCTAACTCAGAAGACGATCCAAAGAGACTTCAGTTACAGAAACAGGGTAACGTATTTCAAGTCTCTCCGTCAGGAGAACCTATATCATCAGTCGTGGCCAAGATATTTGACTCTGAGAGACGTGGTGGTCTTCCGAATTCACCGAAAGCCCTGCATTTATTCAATAGCCGTGGCAGGCTAAGTCGGGATCAATCCTTAGACAGCGGTTCCGCTAGGGGGCGCTTGAGCAGAGACCAGTCTGTGGACGTGACATCTACTTCCGGTATTAATGTCGCGGAAAGCAAGACTTCCGGTATTAATGTCGCGGAAAGCAAGACTTCCGGTAATAGTGCCGCCGAGAGCAAAAGTCCCCCAGTGGAACCAGAGGGTTGTCTCGTCACCAACGTGTGATGTAATCTTGTAGGATTTTTTGTGTTCGTTTACTCTTCTCCGAGCGGCCAGTCACAACACAGTTTAGTTTGACATCACCTCTATGCAAAGCCCAGACAGTTACAGACTTGAGATCATCTCGGCACCATCACAGTTTTACTTGTTTTATACTCACAGTGTTTACGAAGTTTCTTCACAGTTTATCAATTTATGCATCATTAAACTAATCTCACACATAGGTATCATGTTTGCTGTTTCAATTAGGAGATAAACATTTCTTAGATTTGCTGCTGCTATTGAGTACTAGTATTCGATGCCCAGACATTCCATTGGAAACCGACGTCGTTAGTCGGAGGTTTCAAATGTTGAAATGTCCGCACATCGACTAAAAAATGCAACATTATTTTTTTATGGAAATATGTGGTAAGTGGTGCTTAGCTTTTTTCCAGGTGTATTAAAACAATAGAATATCATATCAACAGCTGTGTTGTCTACACTTTGATGAAGTATGTTTGTTTCGAAAACATGATGTTCTGGTTGCCAAGTTTAGCCACAATTTTAATTGCTTCAAGTGAATACTGATTCTAGATTAAAATGTCAATTTGCATCAATCTGGTAGTCGTATATCCACCTGGAAACATATTATGCACCATCACTTCGATATTTTCATATATTCCAACATGTGATGTCTGCAAGCCGCGTATTCCTTTGATGATATCGAGTATATCATTGTCTCTGTCTCGCGATGTCGGCACGGCATAAATAATGCATTATATATACAGAGAAGTCGCCCCCAGCGTCTGTCGACGGAACTGACAATTTAGAAGATTCGATTCGGGCCTTTCAACATCAACGGCATGAGATAAAGATATTTGTGTGGTGGAGTATCATGACTTTGGTCTCAAGTAAAACCATGTGTTTGGGTAACCCTGGTGTATATGGTTCCAGTACGGCGCTACCATGGTGGCGTGTTTGTCCATGATTCAGACAAAGAACCAGAGTTTACTTATTATTGATTCTGTTGTATGATCAGAACAAAGGAGATCGCTATAAAGCTCAGTTTTATATGGTGCGGTGTGGGTGAAGCAGAGTGTTTCTGTAAAATACGAGTACTACAGCTGTTATTATTACATTAGAATTCATTGTCGTAAGAGGCGATTAACTGGATCGGGTGGTCGGACTCACTGACTTGGTCTTTTGGAAATATATGTTTTTGACATTGGTCTACCGATACCTGTTGAAGAGCTGATCCCACCGTTGTTCCTTGAGATGGAAAAAAATGTGACACAAAGCAGAGGACGAAACTGAAAAGTGGTCAAATAAATATTGCCACACCATGTCTACGTCACCTTGAAACAAATGTGGTGTCGTCAGAAAACTAAGGCAAGAAACGAATTTTAGTAACGACTCTTTTACATTGAAATATGTAGTAAAGGTGCATGACGTATTTCCCAGGATAGGTCTTCAGCAACCCATGCTTGCCGTAAAAGGTGTCTATGCTTGTCGTAAGAGGCGACTAACGGGATCGGATGGTCAGGCTCGCCGACTTGGTTGATGCATGTCATTGTATCCCGATTGAGTAGATCGTGGCTCATGATGTCAATCACTTGATTGTCTGATCCAGATTCGATTATTTACAGACCGCTACCATATAGGTACAATATTGCTGAGATCTCCGTTAAACAACAAACCAACAAACAAATCAATACGTTCAATAGGACTAAATCCCTTATTCACCGCCGACGTATCCTTAGGTTATGTCGCAACTCACACAGCCTTGACAACATGAAGGTCCCCCTCTGTACGGCTTTACACCTGTCCATGTCGGTTCAGTCGGAAGAGAATGGGTTCCGGATCTCAAGGGAGGTAATTATTCAAAAAGATTTCTGATTATTTTCGTACTTCCTGATCTCCCTATATAATGACACATCACTAGCTACGGGCCAGATGTCGCCATTACGACATACACGCTGTAAAACACTTATGCAGTGGTGATGTCAAACGTACGCAAGTGGTCGCAGGTGTTGCTAAGAAAATTCAACACACATGAAAAAACATCGAAAACACACAACAAATTTGAAAAACTCTTCAGCAGTTATTTTTATGAACTTGAACTTGAACGTTATAAAAAGTCAGCCGTTCTCATATTACCTAACTTTCCAACTCAAATATCATGATCAAAGATACACTTTATCTGTTTATTGTTAAATCAATTTTGTATATAAATCTTAAGTGAATAGAGTTTAATGCCACTTGGTCAAAGGTCCAGCCACATACCAACGGATGTGAGTACAAATGGATTTCCGACTTATACTCATGTAGGGAATCGAACCCAGGTATTTGGAGTGACGAGTGCAAGCTTTACCAGTAGGCTACCAAATCGCCCCGTATTTATGGATGAGTGAGTATGGTTGTTCGCAGCTTTTAGGAATATTCTAGCAATATTACGGCGGGGGACACCAGAAACAGGCTTCACATATTGTACCCATATGGGGAATCGAACCACTAGGCTACCCCACCGCCACATATTTGTAAATGAACGTGTTGAGGGATTAACATTACAGCTCCCCCACACTAGGGCCCCCTTCCTCTGAGCTACCGTAGCGCTAAGTTGATCGTAACTCCCATACTTTAACATAGACTTACGACGGTCGTACAGCTACGATCGCTTTGTGGATAAGGGCTCTGTCTGTATGTCCAGCCAAACCGTCGGTTGATGTCGTTAGGTACGATTTCACACCACCAACCCAGTGAAATATTCTACAAAACCCATCAAAGTTTACTTTTACGACAATTACCATTGTGACTGAAAAAAAGTCATTAGTTAAATAAAATACACATAACTCGCCTATTCACTGAATATCGTGAAAGGAATAGTCCGTCAGACACAAAAGTAACCCCAAATCCAAAACCCCAAAACCCCATCTCGTCAGAATATACATGGTCGTCTCTTAACTGATACCCCGTTCACATGTAAAACATTTACTGACGTAAGTACTTTTACACATGTGTAACTATACATATGTGTGTATATGTAAATGTACCATGTCTTCACAAAGTCATGAAAATCAACTTAGGTGTGTAAATAAAGTATGTACGTTTTGTAAGGCACACCTATTCGTCAGTCTGTTCACGACTTTTGACACAAAACACGTTGTTTTCCAATCTAAGTTGAATGAGAAGAGAGTTACTTCACCGAAATTTTCACGTGAAGCAACATGTTTGATTTAATTTGTACACAAAGTTTTGACTCCTTGAAACAAAAAGAAATACCGTCCTCTCAACTCTGTATATACGCATAAAAGATGGCAACTGTTGACAATTTGTTTGGTGTTGGCAAAAGAACAGATATTAATTAGATTATCCTCTTAGGTTAATATAAACGTTCACGTTGCAACATATACACACAGTGCAAATTTACATTTACATTTGCACCTGCTCCAGACATGATGCAAATTTGCTCCTGATGTAAATATACACACATGAGTAAACGCTTTCACATGACAAGCATACTCACGTATGTATTTCTACACACGTATGCATATATACACACATATGTATAGAAGCGCGTGTAAACGGGGTATGTGTGAAAGATTCGGGGACACGTGCATTGTTTACAGCGTCATATAACATTCCCCCACCCCGCCACCCACCCGTCCACCCCATTTCACATACACACTCGCACACAAACACAAACATACACTGTTAAGTGGTAAGAAGAAGAAATTTGACCATCACAAGGCGATATACCTAATGTATACAAAACATCAGAGATAATAAATCTCTTTCATATATATGACTTTAGACTATAGAAACCTGATGTTTCCAAACCCCTCGCTCTTTTCTAATGATCAAAAATGGTGATATGGGATGGATACTGCAATCCATACTACGTAGAGATTAATAGCTTGTTGTCGACATATCTCCGACCATAAGATATAGTATATCTAATTGTACATAAATCAGCATCACCCACAGAAAATGTCAAGGTCGTTTCATTTCGCGTTCCCCATAACTATCGAATTTTGATTGGTCAGTTCACAACATTGATTTCATTTGCTGTGAATACGAGGCCGCATCTTCCTTCGAAGATCATGTATTTGTATCTCGACACCGGCACGGCATAAATAATGAATGATATAAACAGAGTGGCTCTCAGCATCTGTCGACGGAACTGACATTTTAGAAGATTCGATTTGGGCCTTTCAACATCAACTGCGTGAGATCAGGATATTATTTTTTTGTGATTTTATCTACAAGGCATGACTTTCGTCTGAAGTAAAAAACCCTGTGTTTGGCCAGTCCTGGTTCCCGTACAGCGCTACCATGGTGGCGTGTTTGTCCATGATTCAGACAAAGAACCAGAGTTTACTGATCATTCATTCTTTTGTTCGATCAGAACAATGTGATTTATACAGCTGTAATATTTACACTGAATTTCATTGTCGTAAAAGGCGGCCAAGGTGATCGGTGGTCAGGTTCGCTGACTTGGTTGATGCATGTCACCGTGTCCTAATTGCGTGGATCGATGCTCATCATGTCAATCACTGGATTGTTGGTCCAAAATCAATCGTTTACAAACCGCCGTCAAATACCTGGAATATTGCTGAGTGCGGCGCAAAACATAAAAAAACAAGGAAGAATATTTGTTCAGAAACATCGAGGTGAACAACACGTGTCTGGACAGCAGGCGTTCTGCGTGCAACGAAAGATTTCATTGCCATTGAATAGCGTGACGTTGTGCACGTGGGACACATGTTCCATGTGTACTGGTCAATAAGCCACGTCGACTGGCCAAGATATCATTCCATCCCTGCGGGTCGCAATGTACAGATCCGCGGTTCAACACTTTCTCGGGCGGTGGGGTAGCCTAGTGGTTAAAGCGTTCGCTCGACACGCCGAAGACCTGGGTTCGAATCCCGACGTGGGTACAATGTGTGAAGCCTATTTCTGGTGTCCCCTGCCGTGATATTGCTGGAATATTGCAAAAAGCGTCGTAAAACCATACTCACTCAACTCGTTCTCCTTCGTGCAATCTCTAAGTGGAGTGAGTTAGTATGGATTTACGCCGCTTTTAGCAATATTCCAGCAATATCACGGCGGGGGAGACCAGAAATGGGCTTCACACATTTTACCCGTGTGGGGAATCGAAAAGCGGCACTCACGGCACTCGCGGCACTCGCGGCACTCAGCATATGACACCACGATCTCAGCACACCGATACATGTCTATTTGAGGAGACATACCTTGTGTTTTGATGAAGAAAATATGTACATCCTTTTGCGTCTGTATTTTCTCCTGGAAGCGTATTGGTGCCGCTGTCTAAAAAAGCCACATCATCTACGTTGAAGATACAACTCACATCTTCGTAGAAGATGCTATCATATATATACATTATTTTATAAACTACGTAGATGAAAGTATCATGTATCGAATTATCGACTTTTGTAACAATATTTTCTCGAACAATCGACAATAGTTCCGGGTCAATTATATATAAATCTTGGCTGAATTAAGAGTGACCGATTTGTTTGACTTTCAACCTTGAATTGTCTTTATTGACGAACGATCTGAACATTAAATAAAGTAAATCCTGTATTTTAATTTGTCGAAGTTACTGAAATATGACACACGTTGCACTTTCTCACAATTGTAAAAAAGAGAGAAGAGTACCAAATGTCCTCCAAACTACAAACCAACAAACGACAGTTTACTATAGGTAATTATTCAAAATTGTAGCAAAATAATATATCAACCATAACATGGTTTAATTCGGAGAAATCACTGGAATACATGTATGGTGGTTATCATGAGTTCTCCATCACGGAAATAACAATGTGAAGAGGAAGGGATGAGAGTCAATCAAACTTTAGAATGAAACCAATACTCATCGTCGTCCTTTGAAGCAGTGAAGGTACAATTCCGCAATTTATATTTTAGCGCCGATAGTTTGACAGTTAAACATGATCTCAGTATGTTCTAAAAAAACGGGAAATGCCAAGTGAAAAAAAAAACCCAACATGCTCCCAAACATTTAATTTAATCAATAGTATTAAAGTTATCGCCTTAATTTAAAATATAAATCTTTGTATAAACTAGTATATAACTAGGGTCGCAACTTCATAAGACAATATCACTGTCTGAGTAACGATTCGTACGATTATAATGTCACATACGTATGAAAGTATTATCTACGTAGATGGTAGTGCTCTTTAGACTGTGGCACTAATTGTCTTCTCTGTCTCTGCAAACAAAGACCCACGTTAACCCTCTGAAATAGGCTCTCGTGTTGTTTATGCCATGTCAATTTCACAGTAACGTGTTCATTTGCAATATTAACACAGCAAATTTGTTTGGTGTAAACGGTGTTGTTTTTCATTAACCGGCTCTTGAGTTAAAATTAGTGAGGCTTTTTTGAGTAACCAATATCCTGCCTACGACTGTTTTAACTGCTCCCTACACTGAAACCAGTATGCACATTTAGCAGAACAGATATTGACGGACGTGATAGCTATCTATTCCTGGCTTGCCTATAATAACGCACCCGGCGTGTGCCCTTGCACAACAGTGTCGAGGAGTTGGATAGCATAAAATAAAACACAGTAATTGTGAGGATGCGAGGATCGACGTGTACATTTACACTCCCCAGAATAGCTCCGTGAAACCAGCCATCCATAGGTCTGCGACAGATGCCTTTCTCTGGGGCTTCTTTTCCTTACGCGTTGCTTTAGCGTGGTGTGAGTTTTCCTGAATGGGTTTATTATCGTGTGTCTACTGAGGTCATTGGCTTGCCTTCTTGGACATACTCTCAGACATCCTAGGCTGGCCCTCTTGTGTCTTCTCTCTGAGATGACGGGCTTGTCTGCTGTGTCTTCTCTCTGAGATGACGGGCTTGTCTGCTGTGTCTTCTCTCTGAGGTCATGGACTTGCCTGTTGTGTCTTCTCTCTGAGATGACGGGCTTGTCTGCTGTGTCTTCTCTCTGAGATGACGGGCTTGTCTGCTGTGTCTTTTCTCTGAGGTCATGGACTTGCCTGTTGTGTCTTCTCTCTGAGATGACGGGCTTGTCTGCTGTGTCTTCTCTCTGAGATGACGGGCTTGTCTGCTGTGTCTTCTCTCTGAGATGACGGGCTTGTCTGCTGTGTCTTCTCTCTGAGATGACGGGCTTGTCTGCTGTGTCTTCTCTCTGAGGTCATGGACTTGCCTGTTGTGTCTTCTCTCTGAGATGACGGGCTTGTCTGCTGTGTCTTCTCTCTGAGATGACGGGCTTGTCTGCTGTGTCTTCTCTCTGAGATGACGGGCTTGTCTGCTGTGTCTTCTCTCTGAGATGACGGGCTTGTCTGCTGTGTCTTCTCTCTGAGGTCATGGACTTGCCTGTTGTGTCTTCTCTCTGAGATGACGGGCTTGTCTGCTGTGTCTTCTCTCTGAGATGACGGGCTTGTCTGCTGTGTCTTCTCTCTGAGGTCATGGACTTGCCTGTTGTGTCTTCTCTCTGAGATGACGGGCTTGTCTGCTGTGTCTTCTCTCTGAGATGACGGGCTTGTCTGCTGTGTCTTCTCTCTGAGATGACGGGCTTGTCTGCTGTGTCTTCTCTCTGAGGTCATGGACTTGCCTGTTGTGTCTTCTCTCTGAGATGACGGGCTTGTCTGCTGTGTCTTCTCTCTGAGGTCATGGACTTGCCTGTTGTGTCTTCTCTCTGAGATGACGGGCTTGTCTGCTGTGTCTTCTCTCTGAGATGACGGGCTTGTCTGCTGTGTCTTCTCTCTGAGATGACGGGCTTGTCTGCTGTGTCTTCTCTCTGAGGTCATGGACTTGCCTGTTGTGTCTTCTCTCTGAGATGACGGGCTTGTCTGCTGTGTATTCTCTCTGAGATGACGGGCTTGTCTGCTGTGTCTTCTCTCTGAGGTCATGGACTTGCCTGTTGTGTCTTCTCTCTGAGATGATGAGATTGCCTGTTGTGTCTTCTCTCTGAGATGACGGGCTTGTCTGCTGTGTCTTCTCTCTGAGGTAATGGACTTGCCTGTTGTGTCTTCTCTCTGAGATGATGAGATTGCCTGTTGTGTCTTCTCTCTGAGATGGCGGGCTTGTCTGCTGTGTCTTCTCTCTGAGGTCATGGACTTGCCTGTTGTGTCTTCTCTCTGAGATGACGAGATTGCCTGTTGTGTCTTCTCGCTGAGATGACGGGCTTGACTGCTGTGTATTCTCTCTGAGATGACGGGCTTGTCTGCTGTGTCTTCTCTCTGAGGTCATGGACTTGCCTGTTGTGTCTTCTCTCTGAGATGATGAGGTTGCCTGTTGTGTCTTCTCTCTGAGATGACGGGCTTGTCTGCTGTGTCTTCTCTCTGAGGTCATGGACTTGCCTGTTGTGTCTTCTCTCAGAAAAGATGAGATTGCCTGTTGTGTCTTCTCTCTGAGGTCATGGACTTGCCTGTTGTGTCTTCTCTCTGAGATGATGAGATTGCCTGTTGTGTCTTCTCTCTGAGATGACGGGCTTGTCTGCTGTGTCTTCTCTCTGAGGTCATGGACTTGCCTGTTGTGTCTTCTCTCTGAGATGACGAGGTTAACTGTTGTGTCTTCTCTCTGAGATGACGGGCTTGTCTGCTGTGTCTTCTCTCTGAGGTCATGGACTTGCCTGTTGTGTCTTCTCTATGGGGTCACGGGCTGGTCTTCTTGTGTTTACTCTCGGTTTTGCCTTCATGTGCCTGAGGTCAATTTATAGATGATATTATATAAACTCTCATATAATGTTCTAATTACTACCGAAGAAGATATCTACCTACAGAGGCGAATTTTAGTGTTTTAGGACAGCAAGTCGCAACAGCGGAACCACAATTTGTCGAATAACGTGAACAATCTTCAGCTATGGCGTCGTTTCTAGTGTGACGTCATTCCGACCTCATGTCACAATAAGATTCAATGACGTCAACAATGCCGCCCGGATTACGGAAACAATACACTGTTGTCTCGTGACGTGGTATGACCCCAGGGCACATATAGAGAATGTCACTCAAACGTGTATATTTGATTTTAAAAGACACAAGGGTGAGATTTTATTTATCATCCAACTTTTTTTCTGTCCAGTGCCTTAAGTGTAAAATGTACTGCTAACAGCAACAGTAGCAGATCCATTAGTGATGTCATTTGATTGTGACGTCATGGTAACCAATGACGCCAAATTGGTCTGCAAAGCATTGTGATGCAAATTCATTGCAGCGATAACTACAATGCAGATATCCCTTGATCTCACCCAAGCGATATCTCATGTGGGAGGCAGTTTTGGATGATAAATTATTTTAATGAACCCCGACATGTTTGCCTTCGTAGGTCATGAATTGAGTGTCTGCTCTATGAGATCTGGGGACAGATTGCTCTGATTGTTTTGGCGGGGGCCTCAAAAGCAGTCACCATCTTTGTTTACTTCGGTTTTGAACATTGTTTTTCGTCTGAAAGTCAATTTCACTGATGCAGCCACACGCCGACAATATGTACGCTAGCTACACGTTTTTAATATACATGTTACTGGGACTATTTATTCACACGTTTCAGGATGTAAGAATAGATATATACTTTTTTATTCTGAATACTGAAAGGCCTCAGGCTCCTAGTACCTGTATTACCATGTATATATGGAGAGGTTGCACGCGCAGATTATACTTTCTAATTGTCATGGCATGACAAATATAGATTCATGTGTTACGAACAATATTGGTATTGACTGATCAAAGAAACAAATAGATCTACATTTCGATGAACAAAATACGGTTTGGGTGTGTTTTTCTCAATTTTTTTATAAATTGCCTGGCATAAAACCCATGTTTGATGGTGGCTAAAATGAAATAAAAATAAATTCGAAATTCGAAGGTGTATTCGATACGGATATTATAGTTGTGTTTTGAGCCTTAAAAGTTTGCCGTGTTTCGGAGACTGTTTAAAGTTTGGTAACGTGTGAATTTGTTGGGTACTTTCTGCAGTGTACACAATATCTGATTTCTTGGTATATTATTGTGTCTCCCTAGCTCAATCATTAATCTGAGTGCACTACATCTAAATTGTGATAATGATGTTCTTAACATTCTCAGGTTCACATCCACTGAATAGCTATCAGTAGAAAGTGAACCCGTGAAGATCCGGTATAGAATAGGTCCTCAGCAATTCAGATATCAATTAATGGATTCTCTGGTCCAGACTCGATTATTTACAGACCGCCGTCATATAGCTGGAATATTGCCGAGTGCGGCTTTAAATAGCAAACAAACAAACAGTAGATAATGAAGGTCAAAATGACTTAAAACATTTACTAGAAGGACTAACAGTAGTTCACAGTTTGCTTAAGTGACATAAAGCATAGGAAAATAGGGGTATAACTCAATCTGTGAGACTTGATTTACCCCGATGGATAATTCATTACCCGCTAAACTCGACAGTCACTGTTACCATACGATTCACAATCTGCACAATGTTCGACATACCAAGGATACTTCGACCTATTCAAGGTGATCTGGATCCCCAGGGTCAGAAAAGAAATTTACTGAAGAGCCAGCTCCCCAAAACCCTACCCCACCCCACACCACCCCATCCCACCTACTTCCCCAACCCTTTCTTAATCAAGTAAACGTACAGTATTATGGCTTCAAGTCTATATTAACTATGTGGAAATTAATTTCAATAGAGACGTAATTTCCCATGGGTGACATCAAGACCAATCGTGAAGACCCTCTCATATCCAGAATTTTCTCAAGTCTTCTCACAGCACGGCCTGTGCGCCATCTAACAGCGCCATCTGTAGGTTTCTCTACGTCTGTCAAAATCGTTCCAGTTGTTGTGTTTGATAACACTAATGTGAGTAATGAAAGACGGAACATATACCGATGTTGACATTGTGTGTTCGTGTTGTTGCGATGTCGGTCATGACGTGCCAAGCTGCAGAAAATCAATCGAGGGTCTCTGTTAGTGTGAAGAGTGTTAAATGTGCATAACCAACACACATACACAGGCAGATCGAGGACTCGAATCTGTTTTATCCCATGAGAATAATTTACGTTTGAGCTGGGAAGATAACTTCATTGTGAATGAGGAAAGATGAACAAATAACCTCTGAATCGACAACGGAATTGTTTTCTTCACCCATAATTACATTAGGTTACATCTCAAACTGGCCAGAAGTGACAAGATTCTGTTGTGTTTAAATCAAGGTTTATTTCTGAAAGTATATTCTTTTAAAACATAGGTACAAAATTCTCCCTCCAGACCTTTGTAACATCAGTCCTATTTTGTTAGAGGGCACGAGAGGCCTGGTAATCTAAAACGATGCAATTTCCTGAGCATAATTGAGTAGCTTAGGTGTGAGGAAACCTATGATGATGGGTTCGAATCCTGATTATGTTTCTTAGTTTGTCAGCACCGTTCTGGTACATTTGCCAAAGGGATAAACGTCTAAGATCTGCCCCACTTCGGGCTTCCTTCCACACCGGCTATGTCGTCGTGAAATAACTGGAATACTATTTAAAGCGGAATAACACCAAACTGACTCACTCACTCACTCGTTATATTTTGTAATAGTCTCACTAGCCCATAATAACCTCATATGAGGGTACTGATATCAATGTATGATTCAAAATACAAAACTTAACATATACTTATCTCCTAGCTTACTTTGGAGAGCCTTGTCCAATTTTGATTGGACCAGAAACTTGATCTTCTGACTCCTACACTCCGGTTTTTCATATACAGTAAACTACGGTTATAACGAACTCAAAGGGACAACTAATAGCTCGTTATAACCGTAGTTCGTTTTAAGCATATATACAACAAATGGCCGGGACTACAAAATAAGTTCGTTATATCGGTCACTTCGTGTTAAGCGTGTTCGTTATAACTGTAATAGTTTAGTCTATTGGAGTTTCCTGAAGTTTGAACATGTTATCTATTTTACCGCTAATGAATTCACACACGTCATCTACCATCCAATTCACCTCTGAAAATCACAAATATATCACCCATAATTCCTTTTACCTTTACAAAAACACAAACACGTCATCCACCATCCAATTCACCTCTAAAATTAAAAAATATGTCACCCACCATTCCATTCACCTTTGCACAACACAAACACTTCACCCGCCATCTCTCAACTCATAGCCCTGAAACAAACCTATGTAACTTTTCCAATGTATTCCCATGCCAACATTGCTGAGCAGGTATTCAAGTACAAACAGGTCATGCATATATAACAACCACAGACACATCACATCATCACTTGGTACCAAACACAAACATCTGTCCAACTTCAGTTTGTTTCTTCTTTAACGACTCACCAGGCAATCATCTTCCGGAAGCAAGAGATTTAACTGACTATAAAAGTCCAGTTTCCATCCTTGCCGAATTAGGCTGGTATTATGGAGTTTCAATTTGGCTGGACTAACGAGTCTGTGCATAGTCCAATCAAAATCGCGTCACGAAATCGAAATCCGGTTCGTAAACGTTCGTGCAGATTTCGGTCGATTGCAGGATTTGCCAAGCATGTGCACCGCCAACTCCTTGTCAACAGATATTTTCAAAATCTTTTCATGTTTTAAATCAAGGTGTTCACGTGATTTGATGCACTTCGCGATGTAAGACCCGTTTTATCACAATATGGATCATGATTATCGATCAGATCGTCTTGACTTGGCGCCGCCATTTTGTTTGAAACAAATACAAGTCATACGAGAGGTGGAATCTGATTGGTCCATTGGAGAGGTTTAGAGGGGACACATATACCTCGCAATAACCACTGGTGGCGCTACGATCGAGCCCAGGAATTCCAGCCTAGTTCGCCAAGGGTGGAAACTGGACTTTTAAAGTCAGTTAACTCTCTTGCCTCGGGAGATGCCCTGCAGTATGCCAGCTATATGCCAGTGGCCTGTAAATAATCAAATCTGGACCAGACAATCCAGTGAACATTGGGAAAATGTCATCTGCAGTAAATGTTATTCCACAGTACATATATTTCAAGTTATTCTGTGACATTTTATTGGTTAACAAGCAAATATACTGAACAGCAAAAGTTCCTGTGACACTGATTAAGATTTAATGAAAAGCTATGTTTTTTACCAAATCTGAAACAATTTCGGTTTGCAACAGATAAAAGACTCCTGCAAGTGTTCATATGGTTTAATTTGCCATACTGACTTCAGAAAATGCGTGATTTCATAAAAAAAAACATGAACATGCCAAAATGTCAATTTACAAATCAATAGCGTGTGTGTCCACCTCTGGTTGCGATGCAGGCAACACATCTACGTCTCATGGAATGAACCAGGCGTCGCACAGTCCTGTGGGTTATCTGTCCGTATCTGCTGGAGCATGTTTCGAAGTTCCTGGAGATTCTGTGGAACACGTGGTTGACTTCAAAGGAGCCGATCCATCTCATCCCACATGTGCTCGATTGGTGAGAGATCAGGGGAGCGAGCCGGCCAGGGGATGACATTCACGTTGTTTTGTTGAAGAGAATCCTGAACAAACGAGCAATATGAGGCCGGGCGTTGTCATGTTGAAAGGTAATGCCTGGGCCATGACAACAGGGCCTATGATCTCGTCGCGGGAGCGCTGTCCATTGAGATTTCCTTCTACCACTATCAAACGGGTCCTCTGTCTTGCTGTAATCCCACCCCATACCATAACGCTGCCGCCCCCGAACCGATCTTCTTCCACGACACAATGATTGACGTAATGTTCACCTCGACGTCGGTACTCTCGAATCCGTCCATCGCTGTGGCTGAGGTGAAAACGAGACTCGTCAGTGAATAGAACTTGTCCCCGCTGCATGGCCGTCCAGCGTAGACGCTGTCCCCACCAATGTAGACGTGCTTGACGGTGGTTTCCTATCAAAATGGGACGTCTGGCGAGTCCTACCGGCGACAATCCCTGCACATCTGAGGCGGCGATGTACGGTTTGTACTCGTCAGTTAATAGAACTTGTCCCCCACTGCATGGCCGTCCAGCGTAGAGACTGTCTGCACCACTGCAGACGTGCTTGACGGTGGTTTCCTGTCAAAATGGGACATCTAGCGGGTCTTCTGGCGACAATCTCTGCACATCTGAGGCGACGACGTACGGTTTGTGAAGATATTCCTCGAAGGCCAGGGATACTTCTTGCAGTCACTGTTGCTGGCTGGAATCGATTTCGTAGGTGTGTTGTTCGAATCCAGTTGTCTTGTCGATTATTGGTTACGCGTGGCCTGCCATTCCGAGGATGGTCTCTGACTGCATTCATCTGTTGCCAACGTTGCCATAAACACTAAATGGTGTTTCTGTGGACGTTAAATTGTCTTACGACATCACGTTGACTCGATCCTGCTTCAAGCATACCAATGGCTCGCAGACGCTCATTTTCGGACAGGCGTGGCATTTTGTAATGTTGAATAATTGCGTAATTTTGTTCTTTTTCTGAGTGGTTGTTGTCAGCACGATGCTTAACAATGCATATGGAATCCCGTTAACGCTCGTTTTTATACCCATTCTTGGGTAGTGAAATGCAACGGGCTTGCATAAAAGTCAACTTTTGCATGGAATGCATGCTTATCTGTAGCAGTTGTGTTTTCGTGACTTGATTCCATACATGTACTACAATATTGAAAACCAAACTTTAATTGTTTGAAAAATAGACTAAAATATTGGTGTCACAGGAACTTTTGTTGTTTAGTATAGTTTTCGTTTATGTTTCCACAAAACGAATAGAAATACACTAATAGAAATCTGTTTCTTTATTGGCGCGTGTTGCATTATTGCCGTGAACGATGTCACTGTTTCGTTTTGTTGTCTCTTGTTTTATACAGTAAAGGAGTAAATAAGCCGTATGTGAAGTTATTATTGTTGACGAATTTATTTATAAGAATTGACTTCAATGTGTTTGGGCATTTTTTGAGTTATAAATGTAACAAAACGGTAAGCACACGTAAAAATATGCAAATCGTTTTTAACGTTTCATGTTTTTCACTCGCAGGACAACGGTTCCTCCACTTCATGACGCTTGTTATATAATCAGTCCTCGATCAGCGCCGATACCAGACAGGTCTTTGGGAATGTGCTGGTCACACTGCTCAAAAATCTTAACTCAAGATTCCTGGGGGCGTTTGTGAGATCCCACATGTGCCCAAAGAATCGTAATTAATTAAAATCTGTTTTATCCAATGATTCCATTGACCATGTTAAATTTTTTTTTGTCATTGTAGAAAGGAAATATGCGCGAGCTGGTTTAAGTAAACAGGTTTATACTGGATACATTGTTGGGAGCTTGGCCAACGGTAACCGAGAGCCGCGATGTGGGGTCATGTCTTGACTGTAGGACTCCATCGCGGCTCTCGGCTAGGCCTACGGCTACTTTAAACAGTACGTCAGTTATATCATGGCATGTCAGCTTGATGTTGGAAAAAGGCCGAGGTGTTGATGGTTTACAACTTCGGTGAATCCCATGGGTATAGTGTTGACGCCCCAGAAACATAATCAGAGCAACCGAGATTCGAACCCAAGATCACACGTTTCTGACAGGTTTGTAAGGGACGCAACTCTGCACAGCGACTTGCGGGATCATGCGGTAGTGGAGTTCCTGGGATACGTTTCCAAACCCTAGGGTTGGCTGTTGCAATAAAATATAAATAAAATTTGATAAATATGTTTTCCTTCAAGTGATCCCATAAAGGTTTTGTCAATCCTGGGAATGAAGAAAAAGAAATAAATTTGAGAAGGACCCCTCAAACAAGTCAGCAGTTATATCAACATTAGACAGTGATTTGTGTTTGC